CCTTTGTTGCGGTCGCGAACTGTAGCTGCTGCAACCTCCCTGACGCGATGGGAACGATGATCCTGCCGCACGGCTTCCACTTCCAGTGCATGGGCCAAGGCATCCTTAAGCGTCTCGTGGTGCCCGAGCCTCACAGCAGCTCTGACTTCCAGGTCGCGGATGCCGTCGATGAATGTCTGCACCAGGTTCCCTTCAATGAGCGCAGGTACAGACCGGTATGCTTTTCGCACCAGCTTCTCCACTTCTAGAGCCCACTGCTGCAGGTTTTCGTTGATGCGCTGCACACGATCTTTAAGCTGCGCACGAAAGACGTGTTCCAGGTGAGCGTCACCATATCTCGCCTCCAATGTCTCAAGGAGTTGCTCATAAGTCACTTCCTCACCGAGAGCTTCCAGAACTGTTAAGGCCTGGTCGCGCAGGCCTAGTGTGAGAGCAGTCATAGCCTGACTTTTATTCCAGCCGTTCGCCTTCATAACAGCCTCGAACTGGATTTTGTAGGCTGACCAGGAAGAGGTACCGTCGAACGGTGGCACCTTGAACCCACGTAGCGAAGGTGTTGTAGCTACTACGGGAGCTGTAGCTCCATCTCCAAGTTTGAGTTCGTCCAGTGATTTCTTCATGTCAGCCATTACGTTGTCAACCCGATTGTTTACTTGGTCGATTCGGGTTTCAGCTTTCTCGATTCGGTTTTCAGCTTTCGCGATTTGGGTTTCAGCTTCCGACAGGCGTTTGTCATGCTGAGCAACCCTATCCTTCACCTCCTTTATCTCCTTCCCGAAGGTAGCGTGAAGGTCCTTCATGAGGAGCATCTGTTCCTCCTGTCGGCGGGCCTGTTCCTCTTGTCCGCTCTGCAGCTGCTCTTTCAACTGACGGACCTGTTCCTCCTGTCCGCTCTGCAGCTGCTCTTTCAACTGACGGACCTGTTCCTCCTGTCGGCGAGCCTGCTCCTCCTGTCGGCGAGCCTGCTCCTGCAGCATCACCATCAGAGCACCTAAGTCAGGTGCTGCAAATGTAGGAGCTACCGACGGGCCTTCAGCCGGTGGCTGGCCCTCCGACGTCTGCGGCGTTGCACCAGCAAATCTTCGTTGGTCCGTCTCCTGCTGGCGTTGACTTCGGGTACGGACACCCTCCATTTCCTCCTTAGGTAAAATCGGCATTATTTTATCCCACTTCTGACACCAATTGTTACGAGCTTAGGGTTCGTGACAACAAAAATTGCCGATAGAATTACCTAAATTAACACTTTAATTTACTTTACACAAATTAAAACTTAAAACACTAATAATTAAACACACTAATTCACTTAATTCCGCTCCGAAGCTTCGCTTGTGTCGCCGAGTTCAACTCTGCCCCGATCGCATCTTGCAGCGCCTATTTATATAATTAGCAAAGAAGCGTCCCGAACATTCAAGTAAATGCGCGCCAGGCAACGAGTATTCGAGTGTAGATTTTCCAGAAACTTAGTTCTTCGGGTGGCGCTGTCGGTCGAGTGATTTGTGATGTCATTTTCTCAATGCTCCCTTCGCTCTCGTTCCTGACACTAGATGGCGCTAGTGTATCGTCGACTTGAGCGCGTAACAGTATGTAGCCGATCCACCTGATGGTAAGTGGGTACTGCAGTCCATGGACTGCCTGCAGCTAACTTCGAACATAAAAAGCTACAATGTGCTGTCACCTCTGACGACTAAGATGCAATAACCCACGGCCTGTGATTATACTGACTCTATACTATTCAGACTGGTACACAATAGTGCACGAACTACTATTTGGTGACAGAAATAGGTAACAGGAGGATGAAGTATTCCATCTGGGCTAAGAATTTGGCAAAGATAGGTGGTAGCTAACCAGTTGTTAGTATATCATTAATTCCTATGAAATTAATACATCTTGGTGTACATACATACTGGCTGCGTTTATACAGGGTCAAAACATTTATAAATATATTTATACATAAGTAAAATAAAATGTCTAACAATGCTCATTATGATGTCCATGTATGTTTATCTTTTAAATAATTATTTAATTTGTTATTTTCTTTCTCCATGGGAGCGCTTTTTACATACACTTTGAATTTAGGCAAAGGCAAATCAATAAATCAGTACATTGCACACGAAGCCCTCTTTGTTAATTTTGTGTCCATTGGCTACAGTAACCACTTCCCATTAGGTAAATTGTACGTTATTTCAATGATATCAAAAAAGGGTATACCTTACCTATCTCACGATTCCCATATACGAGGGTTGATTGAAAAGTACTAGGCCTAAAACAGATCAATTCAATTCTAAAAATCAAATCTACCCAAATTATTTATTTCAGTTCAGATTAGTTCATTGTGTGAAGTTCGAAACGTGTGCGATAATTAGTTGTGATTTTATAAATTTATTAACAAAGTAATCGGACATAATTTCCGCGAATGGAGCAAATCGAGCAGCGTGCCGTCATTAAGTACCTCCATAAGAAGGGGCTATCATCAAAAGCCATCCATAATGACATGGTCAGTACATTAGGCGATTGTGCTCTGTCATATTCATCCGTCAAAAAATGGATAGCAGAATTTAAGCGTGGTAGAGAGAGTGTGAAAGACGAACCCCGCTCTGGAAGGCCTTCGACGTCAACTACTGACGAAAATATTAAAAAAGTACTTGATTTAATAATGGGAGACCGCAGATTAAAAATTAGAGAGATAGCCGAGATTATAGGCATCTCTTATGAACGAACTCAAAACATCATTGTCAACGAGTTTCCACAAGGTGTCTGCGAGGTGGGTTCCGCGACTGCTTTCAGTTGAACAAAAAAGGACGCGATTGACTATTTCACGCGACTGTTTGGAGTTATTTGAAGCCGATGCAGATGATTTTTTGAATCGTTTTGTTACTATGGACGAAACATGGATTCATTACTGTACACCGGTAACAAAACAACAATCAAAACAGTGGAGAAGACCTGGTTCACCACCCCCTAAAAAGGCTAAGTCGATTTTGTCGGCAAATAAGGTGATGGCTTCAGTATTCTGGGACTCGAAAAGTGTGATTACGATTGATTATCTTGAAAGGGGTCAGACTATAAACTTTGATTACTACTGCACCTTACTACGTCGTTTACGAGAGGAAATAAAAGAAAAACGTCGAGGAATGCTCAGAAGAAAAGTCCTGTTTCATCAAGATAACGCCCGTGTTCACACGTCAGTACAGTCAATGGCTGAAATTCACAACTGTGGCTTTGAACTGTTACCGCATCCACCGTATTCACCTGATCTGGCACCATCAGACTTCTTTCTGTTCCCTAACCTAAAAAAGCACTTGGGAGGTCAAAGATTTTCGACAAACGACGAGGTCAAAGCAGCTGTAGACGCATATTTTGACTCTAAGGAAGAATCATTTTTTTTCAACGGTCTAAATGCTTGGAAGAGGAGGTGGCAATGTGTATTGAACTTGATGGTAACTATGTAGAAAAATAAAAATATAACTGATTTAGTATGTGTTTATTTTCTCGGTTAGGCCGAGTACTTTTCAATCCACCCTCGTACTTCAAAATTGGAATTCTCATTCTCAAAATTTTTTTTTCAACTTTAACAGATTCAAGGCTAAAAATGTCGTCCTTACAATCATTTTCTATATTACAATCAACTGGCCTGATATCTAGATGATAAAGTGGTGTGAATTGAATCTCATCTCCAGCTTCATGCGGTTTTGTTATTGACTGAAACCAAACTCTTTTTCAAATAAGAGAAAAAGTCAGTGTAGAAATACACTGACATAGGAGAATCCATACTACCCCATACCATCCCGCAGATGCAGCAGCATCTTCCAGACAACAACTTTAAATAATAATAAAAACCATACAAAAGTGAGTTCCCAATAAATTTAAATAAGAATGTAGATAGTTTAGGAATGTAATTAGCATCGAGACTCAACAATTTTTACATTTAGTTTCACAAATACCATAAATTGACAAAAGTTTATCTTTGTTTACTAATAAAATATATATTTATCACCTACAGATAATATTTCATTTAAATACAATAAAGTAATACATAACAGTATAAACAGTTTGATAATTATTTTTGTAAATAAAAATTTGTGGATCTAGAGGCAACGATGCAGCAGATGAACTAGCCAGAAAGGGATCGGCTCTGGCAACTATAGGGCCGGAACCTATAATACCAATCCCCTCTGGCTATGTTCGTTCACTGGTACGTAGATACTTCAATAATTTACACACTCAGCTTTGGAAAAATTTTGTAGACTGTAGAAAAGCTAGGAAGGCCCTGCCTGAAATAAAAAGTCGTCTAACCAAGGTTCTAATGAGACTGAACAAGCCACAGATCAGGATAGTAACAAGTGCTATCACAGGACATGGCTCTTTAACAAACATTTGTTTATCATAGGTGTTACAGATACAATGGTAGACTTCTTCTTTTGAACATGAAATGTGCCCGTATCAGAAGTAAGCCTCTCTTCCATATCATAAAATCGACTAAAGTCAGAACCTCATATACTAAATTTAACGCTGAGCATAAACAACATATGCTTATGTTGTTTATGCTCAGCGTTAAATTTAACAACATATGCTTTGTTAAACACGTCCTCGACGGCACTGAATATGAAACTGAAGAGTGGTGACAGATCAAGATTGATGCATTTTTATAAAACTGCTAAAACAACAAAACCATATGTTAGACTTCTTCTTTTGGACGCGAAATGCGCCCGTATCAGAAGTAAACCCCTGTTCCGTATCATAAAATTTACTAAAGCAAGAACCGTATATACTAAACTTAACGCTGAGTGTAACCAACATACAGTAGAGTCCCGATTATCAGGATCAATTAAAACCAGGGGTATTCCGTATAATCGAAAATCCGGATAACCGATTTCAAAGCAAATCAAACAATATTTAAGTTTTAATAATTTTTTATTATGTAATGGGTTTTACTTAGATAATACGATATATAAAAAACGAGCTATAACGATAGATAATGAATTACATAATACCTATATAATTTAAAATTTTGGTTGGAAATAACTTGTTATAGATTTTTGACGTAATGAATCACATCTTTTTCTCTCAGCCAAGTCCCTGATGCGCTTCAGTTGTAATAGCTGTATGGGATCCGATTCGTCCTGTCTTTCAAACCACTTAAAAGCAACATTTAGAGCTTCAAAAGCTTCTGCGTGAGATGGTACTTGACATACATCACCAGTTTCAGTCTCTTCTTCATCTTCTCTCTCGTTACTGTTTAAATCCTCAATGATTTCTTCATCAGTTAATATTTGGAATCCAGGGTCTTCACTATCGCAGTTTAGCCACTCCATAATATTCTCTTCATCGCACCCTTCACCAATGCTAAGAATTTTCATTGCTTCGGTTATTTCTTTAAAATCGTCGTGCGGTTTAATTGAAGAATCAGATAGAGTTAATTTTAATAATTTATTCCATGCCCTTTTTAATGTTTGCAATTCCACAGAATTCCATGCTTCTATCAGCATATAACAACAATCTTTTAAATTAATTTCTTTAAAAAACTTTAACAACGTTTCTATTTCACTATCATCTGCTGATAAAAGACGACGCAGTAGCTGCTTTCTGTATAAACGTTTTAAAGTTTCAATGACACTTTGGTCCTTAGGTTGCAATATCGATGTTACATTAGGGGGTAAAAACTTAACCATGAACTTCCCATTTTCTCGATTTAGTGTTTCAGCGGAAGGGTGCGTTGGCGCATTATCTAATAACAACAATACATCGCCCTCTTTTCCCACGTCCTTTTGAAATTTCTTCACCTCAGGAATAAACGTATTTTCATACCAAGTAAGAAAAATATCTGTGTTCATCCACGCTTTTTGTTGGTTAGCGTAAGTTAAGGGTATTTTAACATTTTTGAAACAGCGCGGATTTTTTGATTTACCAATAAGTAGCAGTGGCAATCGATGTGTTCCTTTAGCGTTTGCGCAAACCATAACTGTAACTCTGTCCTTACTCACTTTGTGCCCCGGTGCTGCATTTTCACGTCGCGATGCTAATGATCTGCTTGGTAGAGCTTTCCAATTAAGACCTGTTTCGTCCGCATTGTATACAAAATCTAAATCGTATTTTTTTTTATCTAGAAATTCTTTTAACTCGTCTACAAAAGAGTCGGCTGATGCAACGTTAGCAGACAGTTTTTCTCCTTGAATCTCCAGTTCTCGAATTCCATGTCTGGATTTGAATCTTGCTAACTGGGTGGTTACCCACAGCTCGCCTTGAAAGAAGTATCACCACCAAGTTTTTGATTAAAATCCAATGCTTTCACATAACAGAGGTCCAGATATGGGCTGACCGCAAGCTCTCTTCTGTAAGAACCAAGTAAAAACTGCATGACTTTACGTCGCGAGCTTCCATCTTCTTGCTCAAGCGCGCAGGTGAATTTCATTATGGAATCAGAATTCTTTTTAATGTCTGATATCGTAGAAGTTCCGACACCATATATTTGTGCCAACTAACTGCCAGATTCACCATTTTTTATACTCTCAATTATCTTCATTTTGTCATTAAGAGACAACACTACTCTTTTTTTGCTTGGACATTTTAAATTTCCAACACAAAACGTTAACAAAAATAATAGAAACCTTTCAGTTGAACGCTATCAAAGAAAATAAAACAATAACAAACACTATCCCGCAAACAAATGAGAGCGGGAGTACACCGTCGGAGGCGGGAATAAACTTGTCGTAACATGTCTCGTTGCGCCGTCAAAACATTTTTAAAATAATAATTAGCGCCGAGATGAATGAGTCCGGATAATTGGATATTCGGATAATCGATGTTCGGATAATCGGGATTGTACTGTATTTTATTTCAAATTTAGAAAGTAGAAATAGTGTGTGTAGTGTGTGTGTATGTAGTGAAGGTGTAGTGTATGTGTGTGTAATATTCTCCTTGAGCAAATTTCGAATCCCACAATTTTCAAACTTCAGCAACAGAAAGGAGGTACACAATGTCTAATGTCTTTTTAAGATCAAGAACCACCGCAAGGCAGATTGAATTTTTATAAAGACTATCAACAACTACAGATGTTAGGGCTTCTATAGCATCTTCAGTCGAATTTCCTGCTTGAAAGCCAAACTGAATAAGATGTGAAACTTATTGAGGAAACTTATGAACCTCTTGTTGATAAGACTTTCTATAGCTTTTTAGCGAAATTGGTCTGTAGTTGTTGATATCCTTCTCATCTCCACTCTTGTGAACAGGTGTTACAAGGGACTCCTTAAACAAAGACAGAAATATACCGTACTACTATATTAAAATAATGTGTAGTAGAGTGTAGATGTAGTAGAGAGTAGTGTAGAGACACATGATTTGTGAAAGCTGGTATAGATTTGTGTTACAAGCATTACAGTGATCATTAAGATGCCTGCCAAGTGATTATTAAGGCAAATATTTCATTATAATGGGAATGATCCATTATGGATATCCAAAATGGATGGAATGGATAATACCTTGGAGCCTCCTGCAAGCAACTGCACTAGAACTGCATTTGACTCAATAGCCTGTTGTTGTAATGTTCTGCATCGAATGAGTCTTGCATGACAATTATGGGCTCCTCATCTTCATCCATCTGAAAATATGAAAGTTTATCATAAATATGGAAGCCTACTATATCATCGAAGTAAGAAATAAACTTACAATCCACCTGATGGTAAGTGGCTGCAGCAGCTCATAAGCACCTGCAACAAACTTCAAGCAAATGCTACAGATGTGATGTTACCTCTGAGGACTAAGATGTAATGCTTCAAAGCCTGTTATTATACTGGCTCTCAATGTCCTTCAGGCTGGGACACATACTGCTGCTTGTGGCAGGTAAGAGGATGATCACCACCCAGACAGACTCCTAGACAGAAAAAAGTCCTACCACCTAGTGGATCGTCATCACTGCAACAACACAGTCTTAAGCCACCTACATTCATCAACTTCCTGTCTTACAAGATTGTCACTATCTAATGGGGGGGGGGGGGTCACTACAATTTACTTACCAGTATGAGGCTACCACATGAGAATTATGTTTTCCCATCTATTGAAAGTTCTGCTAGCTATTAGACGCGCGCAGATAGTGTGCCTGTGACTGTGACCCATCTCTCGCCTCCACGGACTGCATCCTGCACTCGCTTAGTTAGTACCGTTAATAACGCAGTTGTGCGCTCATGTGTGCAACATCTTTGAATTTATTGCTTTTGCTCCGAAATTATTCATTAGTTGTCATGTTAAGTTTTACTAATCATCGATAAATGACATAATGATGTCATCAGCAACCTTTCTGCATGTGGTTAATATATGGACACAATTCTCTAATTAATTTAAAATGTTGTGAGTGTCAAGTAAGTAGGAGTTTGCATGACATTACCAGATAAAATTTTAAAAGCAGATCCAGACTCTTGGGACTCTGACAGAGGTATGTTATCAAGTTTGGTCTTTCAAAATTCAATCCTAATAAACCTACATTCATATTTTAACTACTACCATCACTATTAACATTGCAAACACTTCTCTTATTTGCTCTAAGTAAACTGAAAATGTTTGCATCAGGAATAATTTACAACAATAGTCAAATAGCAGATTATAACTTACTACTTTCTTGAGTTCACAGTCCGCATCTTTCTATTAGGCCACTGTCACTTGGTTTCAAATGGAAGTTGGTAACAATATACATCGCCTAGCAGTTTCAACCTTTTTTAATTTAATATCAATTGCAGTATAAAGTGAGCTTGAGGTGGGTTTGATCATCTAACAATTAGATTATTTTATCTTATAAGAATTGCACTATAATTGCAGTACAACTGCAGTATGAAAGGCAGCATTTTCCTCATAACAGGTCAGAATTAATAAATAAAACTGTCGTTGCCGACCTGTCTGCCTAGCGTGGCAACTGTTGCAAATATTAATAATATAATAATATCAGAAATTACACTAATAATATATAAAACAAATTTTCAACCTATTTTGGAATATATATTCCAAATTATATTGAGTTGCTGTAGAAGCTTCAACACAGGTATTCAAGTTACTGGAGCATTTTTTTTTATTAAAAATGTTACCTCCATACTAGGATTTTCTACTGTATTGCGGGGGCAGTTTACAAACATAAATTTCACAAGGACAAACACCCAGACCCGGACAATTACTTGTATGCCATACAAATACTTGTTCTGTACAGGATTCGAATCCATGGCCTTTAATGCTGTAAGTCATTGCTAAGCCACTGCGCCACGGAGCCGTCAGTCAGTATTGAAAACATACAATATGAGGAAATACTAAAAACACTTAAGCTTACAACTCTCAAATATCACAGAGAACGAGGACACTTAATTGAAATATAATCACTATACCATGACATTATAAACACTAGACAATGATACCACCCTGATAGAGCCCACCCACCTGTGATACAATGATAAAATAAGTGCAGTGTGGAAATCACTATGTCCTGCAGACAGAATTTCAATCTCATTAGCACAGGGCAGGATTATATTGCATGTTGTTGCAGTGCTGGTTTCTGTTTGATAGGAATATGAGAGTGAGGGAATTTCTGTCTGTAAGCACATGTGCACTTTAATCTAATAGAATTACTTTAAGTGGGTGAAAAACCGAACAATTTTGTTAATTTCTTGACAGAAAATCGCAACAATACTCAGTAATATGTACTAACAGACACGGTGAAAAAATCTATGAAGCAGTGCGGGTCGCATGGAAGGCGGCACATGGTACCTTTATGCGAGTAAATTTGAGCCGCGGCCTCTAACGCGTCTCGGTGTCTCTTCTAGTACATAGTAGGATTTCAGGCTAATTGTTTTTTTTCAGGTTGTGGTTGCATTTGTCTGGTAGTACTATATTTCACGCTGCACCTTATCCTAGCCCCGATCCATCGCATTTTATATCAGCGAAGTTATAATGTATTTCTCCGTCGATAACGACAAATCACCGCAATTCCAATTTGCAATATTAAGAAATATTAACTACTTACAAAACAGTCCGTCAATATTTTGTACAAATTTCGGAGACTAGTCTTCTTTAGTACACACATGCGTACATAAACGCATAAACAAATTCTATAAACTCCACTAAAAGTCATTTCTGTTTCCTATAGCTTTACTATAATTGAATTCACTTTTTTTATTAATAATTTAAAAATTTTAAAATGCAGTAGCATCAGCAGTAGGCCACAAACAATATTTTTTTAAGCTATTGCATAGCTTCTATCGCGGGCCTTGAGCGCGGGGACCGAATCCAGAAATTCCGTAACGAAAAAAACCTCACGCTCCTCACTCCGACGGGCACGGAGGCGTGGCGTTGAAAGCCGTGCATCGTCTAACGTCGTTTCAGTTCGGCAGACTTCGGCACTCGGCAAACTTCGGCACGGTGTTTGTGTGCGTGCGACTAGACGTATGCGTGTACACTAGCTGCTAACTCAATGATAAAAATTCCTAAATAACCTACATGTATTGTAAGATATTAAAAATATTTTAAACAATATTAACTTCTCATTTATTCAATAAGAGAAAAAAAATTGTTTTCTTATCGGTCACCACGCTCAAAAAGTGTAACTTGATTTAATATCAAAGACTTAACTGCATAAATACAATAAATAAATAATTATAATTGCATAAGTTGATAAAAAATGCTATGCGATAGCTTTACCACGGCAGTCCCCGAGTGCCACACGTATTTTTAAATATGGCAACCTAACAATTACTGCCAACCTCCAGTCAATAAAAATACTTGTAACTTGAAACGAAACGACGGACAATCGAAAGAGAAACTACGATTCTGATTAAAAACCAAAATCTTAATGCTAACAACCATAGAATACTATAATAATGAATCATGAAATGACTTGTAGTGAAGTATATTAAATAAATGATGGATGTTAGGTTGAATTAAAATAATACTAAACTCAATACCACATTAAAAATAATAAGTATTACTA